ACGTGCGACGTAAAGGCCGAGGGGCCGGGGCCGCCAATTTCCCGCGCCCCCCCGGCGCTCCCGAGGCGGTCCGCGTGACCTCCAGGGCGGCTGCAGGACCCGAGCGACCCGCCGACTCCCGCGGAGCCCCCCACTGGGCGCCCAAAACGATCAAGGAACGCCTCTAGACGGCCCAAGATAGCCCCCCAAACGGCCCAAGAGGCCTCTAATGCGCCCCAAAAGGCTTCAAAGCTTCAAAGGGCCTCCCGAGAGAGCCCCGAGAAGTAAACGTCCAAACTCGCCCCGGGGCGCGCGCGCTCTCGGCCCCCCAGCGCTCCCGCGCGGCCCAAGAGGCCCCCGCCGCGGCCCCCGCAAGGGGCCCAGACATAATCCCCCGATAGGCATATCGAGCCCGCGGCCCCGACGCGCCCCCAGAATGCCCCAACGCGTCCCCAAGCGGCCCCAGAGTGGCCCCGTGAGGCCACGAAGAGGCCTCCCAAGAAGGCCCCAATAGGCAAGCATCCCAGAGATCAACCTGGGGGGCCCATGCTCCGCACCCCCAGCACGGCGGCAGCACGCGTCGAAGGCCATGCGAAAAAAAAGCGGAAGTTGCGATCTATAGTGTAGTCCAGCGCTCTGGCACAAACTGAAGCAAGCCGTGCTCTCCTTATCGAACACTCCGGCGCAAAGTTACTAGCTCGCACGACGCGAGACCCGCTCTCGATCGAGCAAACGTCGCCTTCTCCCCTGCCGCCGTCGCCAGGCCGCGGCCCCCGCCCGGCCCGCCGCCCCCCGCCGCGGGTAGCGGGTCTCCGGCGGACTCCGCAAGGGCCCCGCCTTCCTCACTGACAGTTGGCACGCGCCCCCCCCCCGCTCTCCGAGCAGAACGCCTTTGGGCAGGTCAGAGTCGAACGAGGAGGACTCAGCGGCATTGGCCCTCGAGGCAGGGGTCCCCTCTTCGCGTGACAGGGGCCAAATTTCGGATACAGTGGCCCTCGGACCCCCGTCAGCCAGCCTCGAGGCGAGCGTCTCGTCTCTGAGCCTCCAGCACCCAGCAACCCCTTCAGCTATCCGATCTGCGGCCCTGGCCGCCACGGCCGCGGCCCTGCGGGCCGCCGCCTCGGGGGATTCCTCTCGCCCATAGATGCGCTCCATCATGGCGGGGCACCTCGCATCGACGGTTCCAACTTGTGACTCCAAATCATCAGCCCCGCGCTGCCAGGTCCCAGCCCGTTTCAGCTGCGACGCGCGCCTCTTGCTCGGGCCAGCGACGCACCACCCTCCTCTTCGGCTTCCTCGACGCGACGTGAGGTTGCGACCTCTTCACCGACCCTCTCATTGGCGCGCACTTGATATCTCGCAGCCGCGCGGCCGAAAAACCGAGGCGCGGCGGCCCGCCAAACTGGCGACATCGCGCGCGCCGGGGCCGCGGGTGCTGATCGCATATATCACAGAAAAGCGCCGCCGCCGGCCGTCGCCTCGACGCCTCCCACCCCCGGACAAGCGGTTTGGAGCCAGCTTGCTGCTCCGCGGTCGTCGTTGTTGCTTCTGTCTGAAGATGCTATCTCGAGCTTCCTGCCAGCCGCTAGTGTCTCGCCGATGTGCTGCCCGCGCCCCATCGGCCTTGCCCCGTTCTTGCGCGTCCTGCTCCATGTCGGTTCCCTCCTCCGCTCGCGGGCCATGTGATCCAATCTCTTGAACCTCGGGTCTCACAGCCCGGGGCGCAATATTTCTAATCGGATTGCCTCTTCGGCCCTGGCTTGCGTCATCCCCATAGTCGGGCAGTCTGCTCGGCTCGTCGCCAACCTCAATCACGGGCGTCGATCTCTAGGGCGCGCCGCTGACGCCCCAGCAGCTGCTTCGCCCCATGATCCTTGTCGGATCCGGCACTGGCGTTTTCAATTTCCGCCTAGATCCAACTTTCGGCGGCCCGCTGTCGGGCTCGCATCCGGGCCTCGGCTGCCTCGGCGTCGGTTGCTTCCAAATGACGCACTCGTTGTTTGCAACTCTCATCCTCAGGACTGCAACTCTCTCACTTTCTCTCTCTCTCTCTCTCTCTCTCTCTAGCTCTCTGTCGCCAAATGGTTGAGCGATCTTCCACTGCGGGCAGGATCGACCGACAATTCATCGCCCCGAAAGACTTGCAGCACATGCGAGCTCATCAGTCGCGCCACCCTCTCTCGTTTCCCCCCGTGCACTTGGAACCTGCCCCCGGATCACCGCTCATTGTGCTGTCGATGGCGGGCGCCCGCCTGAATTCGATTGAGAAAAAATCGGGAAGCAGTCTTGGTGGGGGATATGGGGTAACCTCTTGCTCGCTCTTCGCTTTCCCCACAGTCCTTTCTGTCCTTGACGGAATCTAACAAATGCTGAGGTCCAAAGCCACCACCCTCGATTCGACCACCGCTGCGTCGGCCAAATCCCGCCAGCAGGCCTTTTCCATCGACATCTTCGTGCACGCATGGTGGGGTTTCACAACATGGCCTATGGCGCCTGGGCATTGACCCTCTATCCCCCATCGTCTTGGATGTCTCCCACCCACATATTGGGATAAGCGGTCCCGATCGGGCCCCCGACCGAAGGTCGGCGCCGTGCACTGCGACATGCGATCTTGGGTACGTCAATGCATCGCCAAGATACGCTGTTATCTAATTCTTGCAATCGTTCACACTCCCGCCGGGCCTGGCGCTTCCACGGCCAGGCGCATTGCAGCTGCGATGAAAGCCATCATCTGGCTCATCGCATGAGACTTCATCATGCTATCCGTCGGTTCCCCCCGACCGTTCACCTGATAACCAAGTTTGTTTTGCCTGTTGTTCTACATCAGATGCACACCAGTCTGACCATTGTGATGCCGCTTTTCCGCAATCTCCAAATGCAGACGGTCTCTTCGAGAAGGCAGTGTGCATGATATGTCCCTTCGTGCTGGTCGACGACGTGTCGGCGATCGCTCGAAAACCGGGGGGGGTCACTACCAGTTCGAACCCCTCCCCCCCCCCCCCCTCCAGATCCGGAAAACCGGGGGGGGTCACTACCGGTTCGAACCCCTCCCCCCCCCCCTTACCCTTCGGATCCGGAAAACCGGAGGGGGTCACTACCGGTTCGAACCCCCCCCCCCCCCCCCCCCCCCTACTCACCGCCAGCAAACGACTCCCGGTCCCCACCACCGTCCGCATCACATCCCCCACTGGTGTTCCCAGCACCACTGTCCTCACCACCGCTGTCCCCACTGGTTCCACCACCGCCCCTACTGTCCCCACCAGTGCCCCCACCACTGTCGCACTGTCCCCGCTGTCCCCAGAACTGTTCCCACCACGGTTCCACTCTCCCCACTGTCTCCACGGCCCCAACCACTGCCCGACTATCCCCACTGTCCCCACTGTCCCACTGACTCCTCCGCTGTCCCACTGAGCTGTCCCACTGTTCCCACCACTGTCCCCACTGTCCCCACCACTGTCCCCACTGCACCTCTGTCCCATTGTCCCACCGCCGTCCTCGCCACCGCCTTCACCACTGTCCCCACCACCATTGTACCCTCCACTGTCCCACTGTTTCCACCTCATTCCCATTGTCCCCACACCACTGTCCCCACCACCACCGTCACCACCACTGTCCACTGTCCCCCCCTGTTCCCACCATTGTCCCCACCACTGTCCCCACCACTACCGTCCCCACCACTGTCCCACTGTCCCACTGTCCCCACCACTGTCCCGCTATCCCCTCACCACTGTCCCCACCAACACCGTCCCCACCACTGTCCGCACCCCCACTCGGTTTTCGAGGGGGGGGGGTTCGAACCGGTAGTGACCCCCCCGGTTTTCGAAGGGGTTCGAACCGGTAGTGACCCCCCCCCCTTTTCATGATGAGCTGGGGGGGGGGGGGGGGGGTTCGAACCGGTAGTGACCCCCCTCGGTTTTCCGGTGGGGGGGGGGGGGAGGGGTTCGAACCGGTAGTGACCCCCCCGGTTTTCCGCCAGCAGCGGTAGAACACGCTCTTTCGGGTATTTCATCGTTGCTTTCGGCCCGGCCCCATTCCTTTTCACTCTGCGCCATACACTGGCCCTCCCCCTCCCCACCCTTGTCCCTTTCCTCCGTCCCGCGCCCACGTACACCCCTCCTCCAACGCACACACCTCGCCTTCTCAAAGCGCGCATAACACGATGGGGTCCCCGTGGGGGGTCCAGGTCCACTACCATCGAAGGGGTCATGGGACACGCAAATTAATACATACAAATAACAACTATATTTACAATGTTTTCCTGGGGATCGATGGTTAATTGTGTCTGTGTGTTTCTCCCTCCTGAACCATAACTACCCGTCGGCGGATGGAGGAACGATCGGCGCATGGGAGGGGATGGTGGGAGGGGCAACGCAACGAAGGCATCAGCTATGGTGTGAGCGAACCTAACCAGCTTGCCTCCACCCTCTGATCTTTCTCCGCCTCCTCCTTGGGGGAACCAACAGGTACCGATACCGCTGCTCCCAGGACCTCTCCCAGGGTGTGTTCTGACCAGGATTTCGAAGCGAATCCTGCGGTGGCGACGAGGGCCGCCGAGGAGGCCCCCAAAAAAGGGGAAAACGAGGAAAGGGTAGAGATATGGGTACCTCTTCCTCCTCGGACTCCTCTGACTCCTCCTCCTCCTCCTCCTCCTCCTCCTCCTCCTCCTGTGCTCCACCGCGTCTCTGTCCTCTCCCAGCCTCGTGCCTGGCCCCGCCCTCTGCACCCAACGTTACGTCGGGCGTGCCCCCCTACTACAAGAGGGGTTTTCGAAGAGGAATAAGAAATACTCCAAAAAGTCGGCGTGTCTCCCTACAGGGAGATTGTCGACGAAAAATACTCCAGAGATGCTCCACAACCGTTTCAAAAGACAACAGAAAACCTTTAAAAGAAGTCCCCCGACAATTTTTTGAGTCGTTTTGAAGATTCCCCCTGTGCACGGACAGGCCCGACTTTAAACCCACCGCCGCCCCGCGCTCCCGGCCAGCCGCAGCCCCAGGAGGCGGCGGGCGGAGGCGGCGGGCCGTCTTCGTTGCGCAGCCCCTCTCGAGCTCGGCCAGGAACTTCTTGTCCTGACAGGCGACCGCTCTTGTCTTGAGTCGGCGATACAGTCGGGGCGCTGACCTAAGGAACCCTAAATAAGGAACGAGGCCCCTTTGCTCCATCAGCTAAACGTCGATTTCCGATCGAAGACATGAGGGAAACCTGGGGCAAGCTGCGAAGCACTTAAGGAACGCGGAGCCCCTCCCGAACCAAAAGGGTTCCTTCTTCAGGGCCCCGACTGTAGCCCGGGTTATCCGGGGGGGGGGGAGGAAGGGGCCTGGCCGATAACCTAACCTTCGCGCTGTGGGCAGCCCTGCCTACGCCCGCGCCCCCCCACCCCGGACCTGCTCAACCGGCAACGTTAGGTGATCCTGGGGGAGGGGAGGCAAGCCCGGGAACCCGGGCTATCGCCGGACCCCCAATAAAAGTCTCCAGGAAGGTGTGGCTCAGTGAGCCCTGGATACGAAAGGGCCTTTCCTTTGCCGCTTCCATGCAATAGTGTTTGTGGCCGCTTCCGGCGCTGCTTCTGCTCCAGGTCCCGTCGCCCTGTTTTTGTGTCCCGCTTGCTTGCTGCTTGCGGTCCCCCATGTTTTGTTACCGCTTCCGCTTTCAAGGAACACGTTTTTTTCCTGAAGCGGTGGAAAGACGACCCTGCCGTGGGGGACGAGGGGCAACATCCGGGGGGGGAACAGCTCAGGGATGGAGACATCGACACGAAGTCGGCGATGCCTCGCCGATGGATCGCAGATGGGCACCCCAAAGAGATGACCCGCATGCACTGGGGCAGGGTGAGCTATCGGGCCGCTATCGGCGATCAGTGTACGGTGCTCGGGCAGCCGATCTCCCAGGATCCCTCCAGGGGCGGTGGATATGTGTATGTGGATATATGTATATATGTGTATATATGTGTATATGTATATATATATATACACATGCGCATGTAAGCCCCAGAGGGTTCACACATATATACGAACATACACACATGTACACATACAAACGTACGAATGTACACATACTAGTATTACGATGCGTATGTTTGTACACATGAACATTGATATAGTCACTATACAAGAACATGCCTGTATGCATAGACGGAGAATATGTGTCCGCCCACCGTGCCGCTAGGCACGGTATTCGCGTGTCCTCAGGTCCTGTGCCTGTTCCATGAAGCTTCAAGTCTGAGTCCTGAGGTGCCTTTTATCGGCCAGAGTCCACATTGCCAAATCTCTGGGGGTTTGCCACGTGCCCCCTCGGCCTTGGATCGCACTCTCGCGTGACTTCTTCGGGCCCAAGACGAGCCAAGGCGGCCATCAGAGGCTCCCAAGACGGTCCACTAGGGCCCGGAGTCGCCGAACGATGGCCCCAACACGCCGAAGAGGGCCCCAAGAAGGCCTAAGAGGCCCTCAAGACGCCCCCAGAGGCCTCCAACAGGCTCCCGGATAGTGCCCCAAGAGGCCAACAGCAAAGATTGCCCTACAGTGCGGGCGCGATCGCAAGAAACCCTCGCAAGAAACCCAACCCTGAGAACCAGTGCGCGAGTTGCACCTAAGGTGAAGCCTGGAGCACCCTGAACGCAGCAGTTCCTTCAACGGCTGCGGGAAATCACCGCGCAGCGCGAGGAGCGAAGAAACCCAGGATACCCTGACGAAAAGCACATGGTTTCTTGATGCGCGCCCCCACTGTAAGACGACTCACATGGTTTTTGGTCTTTTCGCTGAGTCGGCCTCCCGACGCTCCAAGACGGCCCGAGAGGCCCCGACGAGGCGCCCGGGAGGGCCCCGCCACTGCCCCCGCAGCCCCCACGACGGCTCAAGGGGCTTCCAAGACAGCCCCCGGAGGCCTCCAAGACGGTTTCCGGAGAGGGCCCCGACGGAGAGCGCGAGAGGACATTTCAGGCCCTCGGCCGAGAAAGGCCCTCAGGAAGCTCCAGGAGACCGCACGATGCCCCAAAGAGGCCCCGAGAGGCCCCCACGGGGCCCCCCGGAGGCCGAGGAGGCCCCACGAGGGCCCCAAGAGGTGCCCAGGAGGCCCCACAGAGGCCCCCAAGAGTCCCCCGACCTATCCCCAAGACGCCCAAAAACTTTCCCCCAGAAGCCCCCGAGAGCGCTGCGAAGAGACCCGATGAAGCATCCCTGAGGACTCTGACCCAAAGTAAAGGCACTGCGGTGGGATGGGCCGAAGGCCATTGAATATAGCAAGCGTGTACATGTATACAAGTATGTTTAAAGTTTATATATATATATATAGAGAGAGGGATATAGAGCTATATATATATATATATATATATATATATAATAGTTATAGGTGTACACACACGTGTGTCAGATGTATGTGTATGTATATATACATGTACTGTCCACCGCCTCACGAGTCCTGGGGGGATCGGCTCCGAGGGCGGCCGAGGGGTACGGGACCGAGGAGGCGACGTGGCATGAACTGGCTATGTTCCAGAGGCGAGGGTGCACGCCGCCCCCTCCCCCGGCTCGCTGAGCTTGTGTCGGGCTGGGCGAAAGGGGGGGATAGCAAAGGGGGGGTTTGAGAATCAGCTCACGTAGCTGATTTCCCCGGCGCATCCCGGCGCCGCAGGCGACCATGTATCGAGGAATGGGCCCCTCGGTGGGGCCGAAGCCAGCTGCATGCAACAAATTTCGTAATCCCCCCTTTCCCAATCCCCCCCTTTCGTCCGGCCCGATTGTGGGGTGGAGGGTCGACTAGAAGAGGGTCGCGGGGGCTCCTGCCCCAGGGGTGGAGTGTAGATCTAAGAGCACCGAGCTCATGTTCACGCTCTTGGCCCTCCTTGAGCTATAGGCGACTCTGTGAACGTGCATCGGCGGTGGACAAAACTCCCTTTAGGAAACCATCCTTTAGTGAAAAGACCTGGGACCGACACCGACGCACCGGGCCCCTCAAAAATGAAGGCCGCAACGCTCTCTCGCGAAGCGAAAACGGCCAATTCGCTAATCGACGCGTCAGGGTAGTAGGTCTATCAACCTCCGAATGCTTGGGGACCCGGGGAGCTCCATGGAAATTCGGGGCAGGAGCAGGGAGAGGGCGATGGGACGATGATGATCTGGGTGTGTCTCGCCAGGTCTGGGCTTCCAGGGGGTTTCTTGGCCCCGGCTGGATTTACCTCGTGATCCTGGTCAGACTGCGCTGTGCTCCAGGAGATGTCCAGGTGCCGCTGCTGCTGAGGGAGGAGGGGCAAAAGGAGGCAGAGCAGCGTGAACCCACGACACACGAGACAGCAACGTTGCTGCAACTTGACTGCAATCCGAAGGTAGGCAGTATCCTTACTGTCCATGGCGACTGTAATGGTGAGGGTGAGCCTGGGCAGAAGCCCTTGAGCGAAATCAAGCCCTTCTGTCACAGATAGGCGAGACTTTTCCGTTCACGTGCAACGCCAGTATACAACACGGTTCAGACACACGTAGCGCTTTACAATGACCATCTAACCATTTCTTCACAGAGAACTCATAAGCCTCGGGACTGTGTTGAACTTCCTGAAAACTGAAAACAGGGCAAGAAGCGCACACCGCTTCAACACTTCCTAAAATGCGACGGCTGCTCACCGCACCCCTCCCGCTGCTCACGGCGGCGATCCCCTGGGGGAAATGAAAAGCAGAAGGCCTTCTCAGAAGGCTCGGAAGGCCCCGGCCCTTTGAAAAGTGCTCCAGGCCTTCCCCGACGGCACAGAACATTTCGGAGAAGGCGCGAGGGCTTCGCAGAAGTTCCGCCGCCCTCTGAGGACGCCTGCTCCTTCTCACTCCCCTTAAGTCGGACCTGTCCCTCTACAAGGAGATCCTGGACGAAACATAAAAAATACTCAAACACTGCCCCACTGATGCCCAACAATGCTAAAAAAAAAGTCTCCGGAGCATGTTTTGACTATCTTTGAGCTTCCCCCCTGTGGAGGGACAGACCCGCCTTAACGCTCCACCCCTCGCCCGCCGCCGAACCAGGGCGGCCCCCTCCCACGAAACCTTCTCCTCTTTCTCCTCCTCCTCCTCCTCATCATCATCATTATCATCATCATCGTCCCCCTTCTCCCCCCCCACCCTTCCCCCTCCTGCTCGTCATCCTTCTCTTCCTCCTCCCCCTCCTTCTCCCCCTCCTGCGTCGCCCCCCCTTCGGCGCACGCTCGCCGCCGACGACGCGCGGCCTCGCGCGGTGGCCCTCGCGCCCCCGCGGGGGCCGCCCGGGCCGCGGCGCGCGCAGCGCGAGGGCCCCCGTAGGCTCCCGAGCGGGCCCGAAGAGGAGGAGGGAGGAGGAGGAGGAGGAGGAGGAGGAGGAGGAGGAGGGATGAGGGGGAGGAGGAGGAGGAGGGGGAGGAGGAGGAGGAGGAGGAGGAGGGAGGAGGAGGATCACCTCCGCGCCCACGGGGGCGACCTGGCAGACGGTATGGGTCCCGGTGTCCAGGCCTCGTCGGTCTGCTGTACTTCTCTGGTGGCCACTCGGCCTCGTCGGTCTGCTGTACTTCTCTGGTGGCGCAGGACCGTGTGGCACTGCCCCTGATCAGGCTCCTCTGGTCGCGACACGAGTACTGCATGCGCTCCGCAATGGAAGCTCGTTCTCGTCTCGACGCCCTTACTGAAGCACTGGGGTCCCACCAGTGGTGGAAACTGATGACTCATCCGCAGCGCCCGCCGCGCAACAACGACGACGACGACCACGAGTACGAGCAGGAGGAGGAGGGGCGGAGCTTATTTCCCGCCGAGAGAAACAAGGGGGGGATCCAAAACAAAAGACCCTTACTCTGGGCTTCTTAATAAGCGTGGGGGGTATCCCCCCGACGGGGGTCAACCTCGCCTCGTCATCGCGCCGCGATGGGGGTCGGAGCGCCTTCGGCGCGCGATGGCTGCCCGTGACGGGGGTCGATGCGGGGCTGTCGGCGGGGGTGACGCCCCCTCGACGCTTATTTGGAAACTCGGAGCAGAGGGTACTCCCCGAACCTCTCCCGGGGTGCAACCTGAAACGAGAACTTCGAGAACCCGAGCGTAGTGACGAGGGCTCTGGAGTCCCGAAACGGTGCGGTGACAAACCGTGCGGTGACCTCGAACCCCCCCCAAGACCTCACCACACGGCCCGCCACCGCACGGTCCTGGGACCCTGGAGGCCCTTGTCGCCCGAGACATCCTCGGAGAAGGACTCGAGTCCCAAAACCGTGCGGTGACCCCCCCCACATCCGCACCGACTCACCGCACGGTGTGGCCACCACACCGCTTGGGGACCCCCAAAGGGCTCTCGAGCCGCGGCATCGGTGGCTTCCCACTCCGCTCAGAGAGCTCTGCCCTCCCTGAGTTGAGCAGGGACCGACCGTCCCGGCATGCCTATAGCCCTACCACGAAATACTCTTAGAACCCCCAAATGCTCCAAGAACATAACAGAAATAAGGTTCTTAGAACATAAGCCCCATGTGAAAAGACACGACAGCCCCAACCATAAATGCTCTAAGAACAGCTCGTGAGAACCACAACAGGTTCTTGGAACATCGCTTGGTCGGATTAACTATATAGGCACGCCAGGACGCTTCCCCACTGCTTGAGGCCCTGCCCCGCGGCCGCTCCTCCAGCAGGGCCTTGCCCGTGTCGTCCAGGTCCTCCTTCATGTCGACGATCCGCGGGCTCCCGCTCGAGTTCAGTCGGGCCTGTCCCTCTGCAGGGAGAATATTCAAAAACAGTCCAAAAATGATCAGGGGACCATTTTTGGGGATTGAGAAGGTATCCTGGATATATTTGAAACATTGTGGGGGTATTTTAGAAACAGATTAGGGGTACGTTAGGCAATGTTAGGGCATTGTTGGGATATGCCTGTATTTGAAAAATAACCTTGCTTGAACATTTGGGGATATCTTGGGGGTGCTTTTGATTTCCCGTCCAAGATCGGCCTGCAGGGGGACAGGCCCGCCTTGACGCTCGAGCCGGGAGGCCGCCGGCGGGCCACGAGCGACTCGGGAGCGGCAAAGAGGGGGGTGTCCAAGAGGGGGGGGGTGCAAATCATGACCGGCGGCACGTGCGCGGCCCAGCGGGTGGCCAGGGACGTAATGAAATAAGAAGAGGCGCCATGAAATCTGGGGAAATATCATGGCCCGCGCCATGAAATCCACCCCCCCCTAGTGCTCACCCCCCTCTTTTCCGCCCCCGAGCGACACGCCGGCGAGGGCCGCTCCCGCGGAGGGGGCGGGGGCGCAGCGGGGCGCCCTCGCCGACGAGGAGGGGGCCGCCCCTGCGCCGACGGGCCCGACGGGGGGGCCCCTCGGAGCCCCCCGGATCCACGGCTGGAGGCGCGGAGCTCAGGAGGAGGAGGAGGAGGAGGGACGAGGAGGAGGAGGGAGGAGGGAGGAGGGAGGAGGGAGGAGGAGGGAGGAGGAGGAGGAGGAGGAGGAGGAGGAGGAGGAGGAGGAGGGAGGAGGAGGAGGAGGGAGGAGGATTAGATTAGATTAGACAGCGCCTTAGGAAAGGTCGGAAGGTGAACGCACCAAGGACTGGCAATGTTACAAAAAATTATGCCATCGATTGAGAACTGGCTTCTTTGGCCTTGACTCGAGCAAGTAAGGCGGCCATTCTCTGCTCATACTGTGGGGCCTCTTCACTGGAGGAAAAACCTCTAGGGACGGACGACACAGACTGCACCTCTTTCGGGCTAGCGAGAGTCGCATCAAGTCGAGAGACAGGGATGGCCTTGTCCAAACGTTCCCTCAACCTTGGGTTAGGCCCGAGCCCCCGACGAAACGCGCTCAAAACCTCGAGGCCCTTAAACGTGGGTGCAGTACAAGTCTTAGCAAGTTTGATCATCCTTCCCTGAGTCCAGCCACCACAGTTGAGAGACAGGAATTGTTGCTCCTTAATTTCGGTGCGTCCAGAACCCGAGACAGGACCCGAGGAGGCACCAGACACAGTTTGAAGAGCCGTTCCCGACACAGCAACGAGAGAATGGCCCATGGGATTCGCGAGCAACTTAGCTATAGCCGTGGGTGTGCCCTGACATCCATCAGCGGGGCGATCACCAGACGAGCTAACTATCAGGCAATGAACACACTGAATTCCAAGCTCTGTCCAACGCCATTCGTGCCAACTACGTTTGGCTCGTGACCGCTGCTGGCTCTGCTGGGCGCGTCTCCATCTAAACTCATTCCGAAAGAGTGGGAGGCAGGCACTGGCAAGCTTCACAAAAATCCCAGCTCTCCTCTCAGCCTCCTCAACAGAGTGCAAGAAAGCAGGGGTGGGGGTGGGATGGGAGGCCAGGGCCAACTTCGCATGGTTGTCCACAATCTTATTGGCCTGGCCGAAACGAAAATCATCACCAGCAAGCTGGTTCAACTCTTCATCGGAGCGGTGGGCCTTCACATGAAAGGCCTCCAAAAACTTGGAACCATCAAGCTCAAAAGCGAATTTTCGAATTCCAGAAAACTTATTCTGAGCCTCTAACTGTTTGGCCACAGGTCTCTGAATGTGCTGGATCACCCCAAGACAATCGAGACCGAGCCGAGTCGGGCGGTCAGCAACCTGGCCGCACAACGCAGCAGCAACATGCTCCGCAGCAGCTGGGCTCTGGGGGAGGGTGCCTGGAACAACGCCTCGTAGCACAGCCTCCATGTCTGTCGTATTCGGCGAGAGCAAGGCAATCGACCATGCCGCGCGTCGGAGCGGCCTAAGCATCTGCTTGGTGGCCGAGCCGTCGGCCGCGAGCTCGAGCGGCTGTCCTGGCGGTACGAGGGCAGCTAGTTCCTCGGGCTGACGGTCGAGCTCGTTACCCTGGCCATCGAAAATCTCACAGGCCGAGCTAAGGGAGGGAGGAACAAGTAGGGAGTCATCATACACAAAAATGCCTCGAGTGTGCAGACAATCATCGGTCTGAATGGCAACCTGCAACGAATCATTGGGGACATCTTCGCATGCAATCTCACGGGCAGCTAGCACATCTGGTCTAGTGCAAGTGTAGATGCGATGATGCGGGGTATCAACTTGCCCACACTCACAACGACCACAACTAAGATACCCCGCATCTTTGGCCCTCTTCTCGGTCCAAATGGCATCACACGCTGCACACTTTAACAAAAACTGCTGCTGTCGAGTAAAACTTTTCACGCGAGGAACCATCTTGTCCCTGACCAGGTCCAGAGTGGCCCTAAAACCAGGAGGGAAACCAAGTTTTCGGCCCAAGGCCAACTCAGCCTGCCTCTGGAGGCCTGCTTCCAGCAACTCCTGCAGCATTCGAGGTGACACGAGACTGATATCGATGGGATTCTGATAGTGATCAATCCAAGCACACGCCTCTGGAGCCGACCAACCTGCCCTCTTGAGACACAAGACAACTCTGCTGAGCGGGCCTCGACTATTCTTCCAGTCATCGACGCTGCTCGCATTAGCCTGTTGCCACAACGACACGAGGGCAGGGAGACTTAAAAGGGCTCTCTCGGGCGCTACCTTGGAGATCCAAACCATCCTACTCCATTGCAAGACAGGGCCCAAAGCAGCACGGACGTCCCATTCTCCGAAGAGGACCAATTTAGCACTCAATGAAGTGCCACCGTGCATGGGCGCCTGTCGCCTCGCCTGAGTTCTGCGCATTGACGCCAATTCAGCATCCGAAAACCCCAGGACCTCAGAACCATACGAAGACGCAGGAGCCAGGCCAGTACGCAGAACCCCCTGGAGGACTTGCTTAGGCTTGCGTTTAATAAACTTGCTAAACTTACTGATCTTTTTGGCTCGCTGATGCATAGCCTTCAACCTACTCCTAAGTTTGGGTCTCATGCCTTTCGCAGCACGTCGCAAACCAGCGGCCGAATCGACTCCGAGATAAGTGACAGCCTTTTTTACAACTTTGCATTGCACCTGGAGACTTGCTGCTACATCTTTAGCCAAGTCCTCCGATGACGCAACTACAGCAATCTTATCGTTCAATGTTGCACCTATTTTACGACTGGCAATCTGGAAATCTTTTCCCGCCGCCACCGCTAGATCAAGAGCTCGCTGCCTGTTTGCAGCAGAGATCTGAATGGCTGAGTCATCAATGTACGACATAAAACTTACAAGCGATGGCTGACGAGAAACAAACCAGTCGAATTCACGTACCGCGTGTATTTTTATGCACAAGTCATTGAAGCAATCACCAGCTGGGAGACCAAACAGTGCATGCATGCAATCAAGAGAGTGATGCTGACGAAGCCTCAATATCCTTGGGGCTTGCCAAACATTAAAAACTAACTTTAGCACAGGAGACGGCACACGAAACGCTATGCATTTATCACGCAATTGTATGAGATCAATCGTCTCATAATATTTGCTGTAGTCAGCAACAACTAGAACCGAAAAACGATGTCTGACCGCATCGGCTTCGCTCCTGGCCGCTAACACCCACGCACAATCCACAGCACTCCTCCCCCGAGTAGCCCCCCAGTACCCGCGGTCCAAGGAACCCAACACATCATTGAGCATGGGGCGGCGGAGCCTTTGCCATATGCGATACATGCCAGAGTACAGTACGATGAGCCTGTAACCGCTGGTCGGTTTCGGCAGCATTGGCATTAAAACCCAGAGCAATTGTCGGGGCAGGAGACCTATCGCTTCACAGCACTGCCACAGTTTTGCAAGCACCATGAGGCCTCGATCGTCTAACAACTGAAAGTGCCGAGGGTGCAGTTGATCGAGAGCTCTTGCTGTACTCTCAGGAAAGGACCGAATCACTTTACGTATGTCCTCGACGCTCGCAACAGGAAAAGACTCTCTATCAGGTATCCATGCCTGAGGGGGAATCGCTCCAGCTTTCCAGAGCGCCTTATACATACGAGCTTCATGCTGCACAACACTATGGGGATCAGCCGTGGGGCCTAAAGGATCATGGACGACCGTGGGGGGACACACGCTACGAACCTTGGTGATCCTATGTAGGCCCCTGGCTCCCCCTAAAGACGCAGTCTCACACCAATCATTCCAATCTGCATCGGCTTCACGATTAGCCGCTCTCTGGGCAGCTTCAACATCTTCAGAAATCTGCTCAAGAAACTCGAGTACAGCGTCCTTATCTAGTTGCCCATCATGAAACAGATTACGTGCATGCTTACATGAGTTGTCGAGCCTAGCGCTGAGACCGAAACCTGGATAGTCGTCAGCAGCAAATGTGGCAACCTCATTAGCATAAAGGACCTGCTGCTCGACATCCTCATCTTGAGGCGACATCTGGAGAAGGGTCTGCACAGCATTGCGCAACCAAGACCAACCCTCAGCGAGCAGAACCTTCTCCGAGATGTTGGGAACTGGGTAGTCCACGCTAACCCACCTCGGTGCTATGTCTCTACCGAAGCCTGCAAAGTTTATAGCATCTGTGCCCGTGCACTCAGCTACATACCTGGCAGTTCTTTTGGCGAAATGGCCCCAGGCAGCACTTAAAACTCCGAAAGCCACCCCAGGATCAGCCTGCTCGTCATGAGCCAACTCCGAACAATGATCGACGAGACCCTCGACGAACGACCAACTAGGGGGAGCAGGCTGAGGTCCGATGGGGGCTGTGACAGGAAGCTTGGGTGCGGCGGTGTATACCAGATGCTGGATACCGTGCCCATCACTCGCAAGCTCCAAGATTACTGGGCGATGTGGACGCACTGTCCACTTCTTGTCAACGC